GCTACCTCCATCAATCTTTGCACACCGCGAAGTTCGACAAATCGTTTGGCCCAGTCTAACGCAGTATAATGAATATTATGCGTAATAAGTTTTATTATTGCGTCTCTAGCAAGGCCTGTTATCGTTCTACTCGTTATACTGTACGACAAGCACAACATAATAGTGTCTATTTCCTTCTTATGCGCCTCACATAAATCCTCGTTGCGATTTGAATCAGGTTTATTATTCATGCCGCTGTAAGTGTTCAATATATTCTGAAACCAAAATATGCAATAAATTTGTAATTACTGAAATACATGTATAATTACACGTATCTTACTCGATACTTACCTGTAAAAAATATTGAGATGCGTTAACTCTTTCTGCAAATGTTCATCATTTCCAGACACCAAAGCAAACCGACGTATTTCATGACGGACTCGGTTCGACTAATATTGTTTTTACATAACTCGCCTACAATACGAATCGCGCTACAGATCACTTCCTCGTTCTTTTCCACTTTCACAAGTTGTGCGATTTTCGATACGACTTCCTTCTTGAAGATCTCCTCGGCACCAAATCTCTCACGTGCGAGCACAAGCAATTTATTCATAGCGATTTCACGTTCCTTCTCATTTGCGTTCTCGTCAAATGCTAGATCCAGCCTTTTTGATACCTAATACAATGCAAAATTAAGCGTACACTTAAATATAATGATCTGTAATAAAAATTTAAATAACTGAGATTAAATTTTTATGATGTAATTTTTACCCGTAGTATATAGAGTGTGCAGACTATTAATCAACAAGAATTAATAAATAATTACATAATAAAAGAGACAAAAATTCAAATCCATTTGTCAAATTATATGTGATATTGAGTAAAACAAAAACTTTTACTAATACTTACATCTAAGATGAAAAATGTTGCATTTTTATTATTTTATCTAGATTAAATTATCATGTCTTGCGAGTTGACGGACTTTTGTAACAATTATGTATATTTACCTTGGCACTAATATGTGATCTTTCCTTACGTTCTTGTACAATTTTATGTAAGCGCTCCACTATGCATTGAAAACTTTTGTTATTGGGATCAGAGGAAATAATAATCTCTGCATCCCGATATGCCTCCTCGAATCTTTCTAATGCTTCTAGTGCTTGACATCTGCAATACAGTGCTTTGTTACAACATATCTTTAACGCACTGTTGCAGTCCTCAACCACTTTCTCGTAATTGTGTAGCATTAAAAATGCAACAGCTCGATTTTGGTAGTATACTTTAAAAGTATCGTTCCCGTCTAGTGCGTTCTTGTTTAGTGCGTATGTGAAGTAACTTAATGCTTCTGAAAAATTGCCTTTTTTATACTCTTCGACACCCTTCTTGTTCCAGTGCATGGCCCACTGATCTGTCATGCTGGAATAACACAAATTATATGATGTTACATTATATGTTTCAACGTAGAAAGAGTCTGACATTTAATACCATATCTCTTGATACATGTATTATCTTAAATGCAAAAAGCATAGAATATGAAATTATTACTAAATAATTATATGCATGTATGACACATTAGACCTGTTCATTCTCATTTTAGCTGAACTTCTTGCACAGTTCATCTTTCCTCTTTTTCTTTTGACATTGGAAAGAAGTTCAGCTAAAAGGAACAGGCCTAATTATATACTTATATGTATAATGGATAAAAAATAAACGCACAGTTCAATAATAATGCAATTAACAATTTCTAGTGTGTATACCTAACCTGCATATACATTGTGATCAATTGTTGCAATAATTTCTATATTAGATAGTTGACTTTCATTAAACATTGGAAAACAACAGAAAAAGTTAATTATTTAAATAATTATTTAGTGTTTATTCTCAGAATCTCTAGCTGTTTGTACATATTAGACGATGTGAAACTATTCAGACATGGCACTACATGCAAATATTTGATTTCATCTTAACGAGATAGATGCAATTATATGTACGCCTTGCTGCAAGAGTCAAGGACAGTTTACCCTCCTCCCTTTTTTACGGAAATTCAACTTCCCCGACGAAAGAAAATCTGACAAAGGCGAGCGAATTATCTGAGACACGCGAAAAATTTCCTTGCGTGAGGATGAATCTCATTTCACACATCGACATTCTTTCTTACATTAAAGTACTTAAGGTACCGTCAACCGAGTATTCGTTTTTCAGTTTTTAATGCATCTAATAGAGTTCTTTGTTCATTTCTTGAATTATTAATGACCTCGTGTGGCTTCTTTCCCCGATTATTACTAACGTATCTCGTATTACTTTTAACAGCCTTTGTTATATATTGTTGAACCTTCGTTCAGACCGTCTGCGAAACAAAACAAAACGTCAATTCTTTACCTGACGGATAGCTTCCTCTTCGTAACGTTCTTTCGTGCTGCTCGAACACCCTTAACTTTCTCTACTTTTCAAATGATCGACTTTTCAACGAGTGCAACTAAATAAACCGGCAAGCAGTAATGTCTGATTGAGGGTCATTAAGGGCGCGGGTCGCGTGTCGTGGCTTACAAGTCACAGTGCTGTCACAGGTCACAGCGTTTATAGCCACGTGACCGGCGTAGCAAATGGGCGCATTTAGCAGACCAAGCCGCTGAATAGCAGTCGAACGTGATTGGCTCTCACTTTTAGAACCAACGAATCAACTGTTGATAAGACGAACTCAACAGTGTCTGCTGAACGCGGCCAATAATGAGACACGACGCTGCCTGTCACTTGACTTCCAAAAGCGGGCTCGGCCCAGTGATACATGTTATTACCAGTTATTACACACGTCTCCATGTATGTATTATTTCATGCTATATATGTTAATATTCTACTTTGACAAATTTATGTAACAAATAAATTAACTGTATGTATATGTCTTCCACAGTAAACATATATTTAAAGATATATAAACACAAATATAATTACATAATCGCATGACTACGTTTCGAACAACAAAATTGCAAAAATATAAATGTAACATTTATTTTATTATTTAAAGCACTTTATTTGAAATATAAGGAATATAAACGACATTTAAATCTCTTGACCGGCGTAGCAAATGAGGTACGATGCTACATGGTATGCGACTTTCAAAAACGCGGGCTCGGCCCAGTGATATATATGTATATCTCCGTGTACATATTATTTCATACAATATATTATACTTTAGCAAATTTATGTAACACAAATAAACTGTATGTATATATGTCCCGCACAGTAAACGTATATTTCAAGATATGTAAACACGAATATAATTATATAACTGCACGAATACGACAAAAATGTAAAAATTTAAATGCAACATTTTTTTATTATTTAAAGCACTTTATTTAAAATGTAAGGAATATAAACGACATTTAGATCTCAAATATTTTGTCTTTTTTCAACAAAAATATCATCGTCCTGTTAGTATCTTTCCGAATTCTAAGTATATGTTTAAGGGTACATTTTTAGTACGTTCATATACCCATAACTTCTTTTCCAAATGATTTAGAAGGTCTAATTGTCCTAATCGACATGCTACATCACGTTCCCATCTTATCATGACAATAAATGCTTCTATATTAGATCGTTCCGCAACAGCCTCTAAAGCAATGAAAGTCAATTCCTCGATATTCTTGTTTTGGACGGTATCATTCTCGCTCAGTGACTTCAGTAATTCTATTATGTCTGTTTCGATGAGTTTTGCAGCAAAGTCTTCCATGTTTCTTATCATACTTAGCACAAATATAATACCCATTTCTTGTACGTTACTGCTTGGATTGGTGAGTAAAGAGCGTAGGAATTCCAACCAGAAATTCGAGTCGAAAACTTTCTTGCAAGCCTCTTTGTTGGCCAGTGTCAGCTTCACTAGAGCTGCAGCTGCTGCAAACTTAATATCTTGATTCTCGTCCTTGTACAATAACATAAGATACTCAACTCGAAAATTATCCCGCTCGAGATACTGGACAGCGACTTCACGGCTTAAAAACAACAGGTTTATAAGATTTGCAGACGCCAATTTCAAACTATCATCCTCGCCTCGAAAAATCAGATAAATCTCGATCTTTTCAAATACTTCTTTGAATATATGTTCTCGCATGCTGTCGTTGACTTCAGCTAGATTGCACAAAGCTGTTAAAGTCTGGCAATTCTCATTAACAGAACACTGCGGGTTCAGAAGATCTACGATCGGTTCAACAACCTCCGTGATTAGATGACCAGGAAATGCAACCTCAGGACGTATCGTGAGTCCCAAATGGGCCAGGGCTCGCGAAGCAAGCTTCTTTCCCTTGACTGTGCCATCCAGCGCTAATGACAACAATGCCTCCGTGCCGCCGTCATCAACAACTATTTTTCTCAATTCCAGTTGACCGCATATCGCGTTGATAACGCGGGCTATCAATTCTTTGCAGTTCTGGTTCGTTTTGGCCAGGTTCTCTAAAACGGGCAAGATCTTCAAGAAACTGGTGAGGCTCACCATAGCAATGATCACACCGGCCTTCGCTAACGCGCACAATCTGTCTTCTAAGTTGTCATCCAGTTCCGGTTTCTTGTGAAAATAATATTTGACAAACTTTGTAAATTCTATCATCTCGGGTATGTGTTCTTGCTTGTCATAAGCGTTGCATAAGTTCACTAACGTCGTAAGCACGCCGAAGAGAACCGATTGATCACCAGTCTTGGCGATCTCGATTATCGTATGAATGGCTTCTTGATCCTCGATCAACTCCACTTTGACTTCGGCGTTGAAAGTGAGATACGACAGACCTTTTATGGCCAACTTTCTCATATCTTTTTCTTTCTTTGGATTAATCAACAATCGTCTGCAAGCCTCGGCCAATTCCTTGGTCACTCCATCCGCGAACGGTCCGATAGTCGCGTCTGGGTCTCCGGAACTACCTAACTTACTTAAACCCAATAACGCTCGAACCCGAATTGAATCATCCTTGGATTGACACAGCTTTTTCAATATATTAACACCTTTATTTATGATCGCGTTGACCTTTTCTTTTTTGGTCACAGCGGCAACAATACATTCGAGAGCCACTTTCTGCTGCAATACATCATCCGTTCCCGCCATAACGAGGATCATCTCTAAAATCCCTTCTTTAACCACAACTGCGTTTCCAACATCTGACGGACCGAATAATAAGGTTGTTATCGCAACTACAACACGCACCTGTAAAACAATCGATTAACTATTAATTAAGTTAGGTAAATTAATTAGTTAAGTAAAAAAATATCAATTTAAAATCAAAGAAGCTACAGTGATATTTAATTTTGATAGAAAATAGAAGAAATTTCTGTTAAATTACATTTCAGAAAATACTACGGATGACAAAGTCATATTCTTCAGTAAATTTCGATTAAACTCTGATATAATCGTATTTTAATTTAAAATTTACAAAACATACACAATGTACAATTGAAAAATCTTCTGACATTTTTACTTTAAAAAGTTTTAATTGCTCAAATAGGCTATAGTCAAAAAAAGATACTCGGCTTTTTATTTTAAAACAATTTAAATAATAAGAAAAGATCAAAAGTTACAAAATTCATACTTTAGACTGTATGTCAGGCGAATGCAATTTATCTTCAATAAATTCATCAACGGCGTTAATATATGTTTTCTCATCATCACAGTTCTTATACACGTTTTTATATATCATTGCTAAGCACACACTGGTTATAGTTCGCGTGGAAGACGTGATGTCTAGCAAAGATTCAGAATTGTATTCCTCCATTTCACTGGCTACCTCCATCAATCTTTGCACACCGCGAAGTTCGACAAATCGTTT